AGTCAGAGGATAGACTAATTGGAAGAGCCTCGACTGAGAGTCAAGAGAGGCAGAATCAAGCTCAGACTCAGTCAGCAGTACCCAAGTAGTTCCTAAGCAGGGCAAGCCCCTAAACCAATTCTGACTCATGGGTATTACTGCTTCTATTTTAGAGATGGGAAAACCAGTCTTAAGAAACTTGCCAGAACTCCACAGCAAACAGGTGGGAAAGCCTATGATATTCCAACTCAGATCGCTCTAAAAAGCTTGCATTGCACACACACACACACACACACACACACACACACACACACACACACCATACTCTCTAAATTATAAGAAGTCCTAAGACTAGATTAGCTACAGACCTGTCCGACCTTGCTCAAGAGTTTCAAAGACATGATCTTCCCAAATTTCACCTCCATCATTTTTATCATGATATATGATACAGGTCAAAAGGGTCTATTTATATAGTAAGTCTCATAATACAGACATTTTTCTTTTGGTATGGAAAGAAAGAAAAAGCTTTCTTAAGAAATCTCATATTTAAAAGTACAAGCACATACAGCTAAACAGACTAGGTTAAAAGGGAAAACAAAAGTGTCACGCACTTTCTTGAATGGGAGAAGTGAACCCCAATGTGATGAGCGAAGAAATCACTTTAAAAAGTTGGTTATTGGTACTGGGGTGGTCACTTAGCAGCTGCGGTCAGCTACTACATTCAATTGTGACCTCCCATCTAAGAAAGTCCTTTTCAGGGAGGCTAGGCTGGGTCCCAGTGCTCCAGAGAAAGAAGCAGACATCTGTCCCTTGATGATTTCATTCTATTAGCATTGTTCATCAGGTCTGACTCCTGCAAACAGGGCAGGTAAGCAGGACAATAACTCCTCTATGAATACTGGTAATAGCCACCTTGCATCTACATAGCCAGCAATATGTACAAAGCAACTTTCACATATTCTGTCTCACGTGTCATCCTCCCAGAACCCTGTGAATTAGAAAGTCACATGTCACATGTTAGATGAGCAAATAGGGACCTGCATAGGATGCAAGATAAAATCTATAGAATAACGGAAGAAGGATGGAGTTGTCGGAACTAAACTTTGAAACTGTGTTTTCCTATTTTTAGTCTTGAACTCAGATTATCCAACATGATGCCCAGAAATACAACCTCCATCCAAATTTCCAGCCTTTCCTTTCTCTCTAGGTCATGGCTATCTCTTCCAAGAAAACACCCTGGAGTCAAACTCCTCTGTTGCATTCCCAGGAAGGAAAAGCACACGACTATTTGAAGTCAGAGAGTGCCAAGTGAGAGCTAGGCAAGTACCTACATGTGCATGGAGCGCACCTGTTTACAGGCAGTCAGAATTCTACGCCTCACATCCCAGGGACTTTTAATCTCTATAAACAACCTTTCTTTCTCTGCTAGAATCATGGCTCATTCCCTAATTAAAGGGTATTATGCACTTCATTGCACACCAGCTAAGAAGTTGGAATAAGGAAGCTTATGCTAAATCATTAGCTCTGGAGATGACACTAGGTATACTTTACTGCATAGAAAAAGACATAGGAAAATAAAAGCCATCCTCTATGACACCCCTCCCCCACACTTAATGTTTCTAGTAAGGCAGCCAAAGATAGCACTTAGACAAAAAAGGAACTCAGCATAGTACACCCCAGACAGAGCTTGTAAATAAGGCAACTGGAGAGGAACACGCAGGACAGAGAATGCGTGAGAGAAGGCTGGTGAGTTGGCTTCTCCAAAAACTACTGTTCAAATCCTCAGCTCTCTTTTGGCATGGGAGCACAAGAATGAGCATGCATCTATCCAGGGCCAACAGGATACAGGGAGACCAACGGCTAGCCAGGAGGATCACTCCTCACCATGGGGGTTTAAACAAACATGCTATGATGTCATGTGGAGGCTCAGAATAGCTGCCCAATGCAACCAGCCTCAGCAGTCTCCCCCAGCTTCCCTGTGCCATCCCTGAGTATAGGAAAGACCAGCACTGACACTCATCTTTTTGTTAATGAGAAAGGTCATACATGGTGTGTTGGTCCAAAATGGGTACACAGACAGATCAGTCTTGATCTTGGTGAGAATGGCAGATAATTACAACTCCAATAACCAAGTAATAAACCTTATCAACAGGCAATTTTGTTGTTTGGAAGGCTTCCTGGGGATGTCAAAAGCTCAGGTAAAGATAGAAGCCCTGATTTTTGATTTCTAGGGACCCTGGTAATTTACATGACAGGTCAAGTGCAAAGAGTAACCTAAGGTCAAAAAACCCTTACTTTTAGGCAGAACCTGGAATGCATACAGAGGAAGCCACAAGTTAGATATGCAGTCATGAGGGTTCAGTCCAGAATCTGCTGTCCACTGCAGCACCTCAGTGCAATATTCTGTTGTCTGTGTGTTCCATGTATGCACAGGCAGACAGAGAAACAGCTGAGTGCATTTCTGAGATGCATGGTACCGTAGTGAAGCTAAGCGTTGCCAGGCACTAGGAAGCACACAGTGGAAAACAGCGATGGTTTCAACCTTCAAGAATGAGGCATTTTCCCCATCACTCCCCAGGTGTACATGACATGTTCTAGGATCCTGTTTGCTCCATTTAGAGGGGCTGGTCCCTTCCTCCAGTTCAGACTGGCTTCCTCTTCAGCAGATGCTGCTACCGGTTTTGCTGTGTTCTTGCCCAGAATGTTTAACAGGGATAATATAAAAGGGCTCCCCCAGAAAACAGAGTTCCAGCACATGGGCTATGAGAAGCAATGCCCCCAGCACTCTGAGAGTTTCCAGAATCAGAGACAGCCCACAGCAAGCACAGAAATTGCAGACAGAGACTGGTTGTAGCATTAAACGAACCTCAGAGCAAGAGGAAGTTGAACCAGAGAGGGGTTGGGGGGAAAGATGCACCACAGGGAAGGTAGGGGATGTCTTATGAGAGGATCACAGGTATGTGTTAATTATACAGTCTGGTGCCTTATCACTGCTGTTCCTACCACACTGGACTTAAAACTGCATTTTCACCTAATGCTCTAGGACTCAAACACTCCCATTTGCCCCAAAACCAGCTCTAAAAGAATCAGCTACACTGAATTTCAGGAGAGTCCCACAGCCCATAGTGTCCCAGAACTTGTCTGGCAGTGCGGAGGAGTTGGCAGCCATCTGGCCTATTATGCCAAGTTATGCCTACTAGCCCACTAATTGGACCAAGAACAACAATACTGGCAACAATAGCCCGTCCTCCCTCCCAGCCCCCTCCAGCAACCCCACCCTCACTGTAGCCACATCCCCTTCAGTGTTTCTTTTTACTCAGCTCCCCATTTCCTCTCTAGGCTTCCCAGTCCTGCAGCTGCTTGCCCCCTCCCTACACCCTGCTTTCCACACTCACATTGTAAAACAATCACACACAGAGAAAATGAGCCCTTGAGTTTCAAACTACGGCTCCTAAACAAACCAGCCAGACCCACTCGCCCTCAAAAGCAGCTTGCTGCCCCTCTGCACATGTGCTTCCACCCAGGCCCTTCTCACTGCCCCACCGCTCTGGACAGCTCCTTGCTTCAGGTGGAGCCCTGGGAATCCCAGCCTTTCCTTGTTCCCCCATGGAGCTCAGGATCCACACCAGAAAAGGCAGCAAAGAGTCTTCAACACCTTTGCAGTTTCACTGGCTCAAGCAAGCTCCCCAAAGCAGGCTGGAGTCATCCAGGCTGTGAGGGGCCCCACTCCCTGTTCTCTGAGAGCTTTAGCTGCAGCCCAGCCCACAGGATGCAGTGTCTGATGCCACTTCCGAGCAGCGAGGGAGAGGGAGAGAGAGACAGACAGACAGAAAGAGAGAAAGAGAGAGAGGGAGAGAGCTATCTCATCAATGACAAGCTGTTCCAATCACACAGCTCGGACACCAATGTCCCAGACAATGGACAACCCAGGCCTCCTCCCTCTGATTGGAAGGAAGCCAACTCAGCACATCTGGCAAAGTGACCCCACAGCAATCCTCCATCACTTACTCTCCATATCTGAACAGCACAGAGCTCCATCCCAGCAGGTAACCTTTGCTACAACAACTCTCACCAACTACCCTCCTGGCATTCCGCTGCTCTGTTCTCTCCTGCTTCCAAACACAAGGAGAACCCAAACCAAGTCGAAGACCTTCAGTGTACCACTTCCGCAGAGGCCCGAATGCAAGAGGGATCCGAAAACAAGGTACTCACTGTGGTGAAGTCTTGGTGACCACACTCCTGCCCCTTGAACTTGCAGTACAGCATCATATCCTTCAGGTCGTGGCCCACGCGATGCAGGAACTCCAGCATGCTGAACTGCTTGGGTTTGTAGTGTTTGAAGTTGGCCTTCTGCCGCAGGGCCTCCAGTACTGTGGGATCGGCCAGGTGCGGGTCCGGGATCTGCAGGTTGACGTCCAGCAGGGCCAGCAGCTCTCCAGCATGGTACAGGTCATTGGTGGTGAGTCTGGAGAACCGGAAGCCATTGAGGTTGCAAAGGGTCACAGCTGGGAAAACCAAGCTCTGGGCCACCACCTCATCCACTTTGGTGACGTGCTGATAGGAAAAGTAATAGGACACTCTCTCTGAGCTTTCCACCAGCAGCAGGCCCAAAGAGCCCACGAAGGCCACGGCCCACAGCACACGCCGGATGGTCAGCGGCCCGTACACGAAGATGTGGCGAATGCCATGCAGAGTGGACGAGTTGGCGAAGATCTGAATGCTAGATGGTTGCAAGCTGCCCTCGCTGGGACTCTCCTTGAGGTCCATCGGGACCCTGCGCAGTTCCGCAACTGGCTTCAGGTTGATCAAATTTCAGGGAAGAGTTCCCAGTCCTGGGGCTCTGCTTATGGCTGGGTCCAAGGCAGAGAACGCCAGGCAAGCATCAGGCCAGACGCTGTGAGTTTCTCCTGAGAGCCCAGCCGCACGCTGACAGGGGTGAATGTTTATATAAAACCCATTCAAACTCTAGCTCCTGATTTTTTCCAGGCGATAAGGAGGGCTGGTTTTATTTAGGGAGACACCAAGGTGATGTGGAAGGGATGTGGGTGGGAAGGGAGCGCTTAGCCAATGGAAATAAAGTCCTCCCCCCTACACACGCCACTAGAGACAAGATTAAAAGCGAGAGCGAGGGAGAAAATGCTTAAAACAAGTCGCTGAGCAGCTCGGAGCCTGTTAACCAGCGCATAAGCCCCGTGTTAACCATCCCGGGGATGTCAGGGCAGCCGCGCAGAGGCACTGCGGTCTGCACAGAGCTCAGCCTCCCCCGCCGCCGCCGCCGCTCGCTCTTTTCCGTGCTGCTGGCGCTCCCGGTGCCGCGTCTCGCCGCCGACCGCTGGCCCTCCTTTCCTCCTCCTCCAGGCCCCCTTTTAGGGCAGAATTCCAAATACTGCCGGCCGCGGCTAGCACCAGCCAGAAGAGGCAGCGTGCCGCCCGCCACCGAGAGGCGGAGACCCGGGAGGCTGGGGACCGATGGCTGCGGGGTGGGGAGGAGGCTCGGACCCGGGGTGCAGCCTCCCCGTCTCCCTGGTGGCGAAGGAGACCCTGGAGGCGCAGAGCGAGGCTTCTTGGCTCAGGCCGCCTGGCCTCCCGTGAGCTGTGACCGGCAGGGGGGCGGGGGGACGGGGAGGGAAGGGTCGGGAGGGGGAGACAGCGCTGGTGGGGGCTGGGGACCTGGAGAAAGTTTCTTTTTAGCCTTTTACCGAGGGAGCTGCGGGGTACCTGAAAAGGGGGTGGGGCGTTCTCCAGAGGGTGAGCAACCAGCCGCAGCTAGCTAGCAAGACTTGACATCCTACCCCGAGGTTGGCAGGAAGGCAGATGCTGACCCACCCTGAGCCAGGCAGGAGTGGGAGCAGCATTCCTTTGCACCAGCATGAGCTCCCTGTTGAGCCCCAATCCAGGGGCTCCAGGAGAGAGATGCTGAAAATAAACCCACAGAGCCTCTGCTGCTTGCAGAGATGGGGAGCATACCAGGGACACGGTAAGAAGCTCTCTGGAGACAGAAAAGCCATCGTGCCCCTAGGAAGCCCAGAGAAAGAGCAACAAGTAGCCCCCACCTCTACATGGCTGTCAGGAAAATCTGTGTTTGACAGAGAAAGACAGCTGGGGCTCCAGGTAGAACTGGCTGTATTCCTGCATCCCATTCTATGGAAAGATGCATGTGTGCATGTGTGCATGTGTGCATGTGTGCATGTGTGCATGTGGTGTGTGTGTGTGTGTGTGTGTGTGTGTGTGTGTGTGTGTGTGTGTGTGTTCTGCACCAGTAGCTGCCAGATGGAAAGCCCAGCTGGAGCTATAGGTGGGAGCAGAGAGTGGGCTTTCAGCCGCTTACCTCCCTTTTCCTGAAAATCCCCTGGAAGTCAGTTCCTGGTAGCAGGTGGGTGTGGCTTGCCAGCTTGCCCCATGCCAGAGATCAAATGGCTGAGACCTACTGAATCAGTGATGCTGAATCCACATCAAGAGGAGAGGAGCAGGCAATGTATGTGAGTAGCCCAAGCTGCAATGCCAACCTGGGGCAAACCTACATCAGGCCAGGTGCCTTGGGGGGCCAATCTGGGTGACACCTTGGCTGGAAGAAGGTGGAAAAGGCAGCGTAGATCGTGTCCCTCCAGGTTTATATCTACTCTGAAACATTCTTCTATCCTCCTTGGCTATCTGCTAAGCCAGATCCAATAGGACAGACATTCAATGTGCTCTAAGGCAACACGTGGCATAATATTGGTGAATTATTGACCCTGGGAGTGTAAATAGTACAAACATTACCAGTGAGCAAGCTGATTGACCCCAGGTGTCTGCTAACCTAGAGGTCCAAGACCCCTGCCTCCAAGGCTGGGGGCATAAGCTTTTAATGTAAAGACACTAAAATTAAGTAAGGCAGTATCATGTGACAGGACTCATGTGAGGGTGTGATATCATCACACTTGACTTTGCCAACTATTTTAACAGGTGTGTGTTCTTGTTTTATTCCCATTGTACAGAAAAGAAAACTGAGGCCCATGAAAGAAGAGTACCATGTCTAGGTTTTTCCATTTTTGGTACCAGAATTGAACTTGAACCCTAGGATGGTTGCCTCCAATAATCAGATTTGAAAAAGCAGATCCAAAATATTCCTAAATTTAAGAAGAAACAAATGATTATACTCCCACTCCTTACATTACATAGGCGCACACACGTACACACACACATCAATTTATCACATGTATGAAGCAGCATGTGACTTCTGATCTCCCAGTCATATCCCTGTGCCCATTTTTTTTTCATAGCTCAAGGCAATCTCATACAGGAAGACTTCCCTGATTAATCCCTCCAAGCTTTGGCTCATCTGCCTATGTGGTTGTTGACCTTTAACTCTGTATCAAGTACTGCATTGGTTTTGTAAAAACAAAGAAGAATGAAGCACATGTCCTACTTCTGACAACTCAAAGTTCAGTTGAGGTGGAAGCAGAGAGACATAAGCACACACGTGTCTGTACAGCAACACGGTCAATGAGAGAAGAAACATTGTTCATGGGCACTGTTCATTAAGCTCCTGTTACTCAGCGTCCTTACCAGGTCCTTTTAGCCTCAGCGTTTGCTCACGCTGCATTCTATCTCCTCCCACCTGCTAGACCCACTCCCCTTCCAAGACTGTTCTTAGAACCACATTTTCTCCCAGGTTTTATCCTCCACATGTTTCTCTTGTGTGCAGAGATGATAGAGTTCTGTATCTTCCCTATTTAAGCCCATTTCCTCTCCTTCATCTCCCCAGCACATGGTTTTGAGGAATAAAAATGGTGTGGAGTATCATGGGAGGCGTGACCTGCACCTGAATTTACATATCAAGTCTTCTCTGCCTCCTTTTACTCTGTGACCTTGAGGAAGTTAGAAAATTTCTATGAACTTGCATTTTCCCAACTTCCAAAGTAATAGGACTTCTAATACCTCCCGTGCAGAGCTGTTGTGCAAAGAAAATGACATAAAGATTATGAATTGTCTGGTGCAATTTAGATAGTTGGCAATTAATATTTCTTTTGATGACTACTCAGAGAATATTCTTTGTTGATTTTGGTGTTCTTTTCCAGGTGATTGGGGGACCATTTAAAGCTCTGGAAGCTGTTATTTGCACTGAACACTGCATGCCTGAAAGTGTTATCATTCCCATTCAAAGCCCAGAGAGGAAGGTAGTCCTCTGTCTCTGCTTCATCCTGTGCTGGACAGTAAGATCTCTCCAAACTTCTGGGCTAATCTCTCCCAAGTGGGAGAGGATTGAGGCAGAAGGGAAGAGGTGTAAGGGTAGATTTCATTACTGGGAATCAGGCTCTGTGATTGATAGTTAATGAAATCCATTAAATGTCAAGAACACTGTCATGCCCATTTTAAAGACAATAAAGCTGAGTGACACTAGAGAACTACTTGCCCAAGGTACTGTGGCAAACAGGAGGAGAGCTGATAGTCAATCCCAGGAATATAAGAGTCCTGGAGGTCGCGTCCACAAGCCCAGTTTAAACACTTCAGCAAGGTCATAATGCTGCTGATCATCATGATTTCAGTTTTGAACACAAAGCACCCAAGTTATGGAATATTCTTCAGGAAATAATGTGGCCCCTATTTTATAGCATATAAAACAATTCAATCTGATGGCTAATGAAATGTTTCTATACAGCTCTCTGAAGGACCCTCTTTAATCAATAAGACTCCTTTTCAGTTAGCATTATGGTTAACACACAGAGGCTATTGCATGAGCCTTAAAAATGCTTTTGTACTGCTCAGGTCCTGCTTCAAGCAGATTCCCAGGACCTATTTGCTTAGCTCTGGGTTATATGTAGAGGGCACAAGGGATTAGGTTTAGAGAGGGTCTATTTGGCCCAGATTTGCAGGCACTACCCTAATTGTGTATAATTATGGTCTTTTTTTGTGAAGTGTATTACTAAACATTGACAAGAACTTTCCAGATAAATTCATCCACAAATTAGGCAGTTTAACCCCCTATTAACCCATGTGCCCAGATTTTGGCTATGGTATTTATTTGCCTATGAATAAATGGACATGTGAATGAATTTGCTCTGTGATGACACAGAAGCTGCTGCTCTGAGATGTGAAGAGGGGAACCTTCACCCAGCCCTGGAGACCCTGGGTCCTGGCCTAAGCCCAGCTTCTGGGGAAGGTCAAGAGCAGAGTACAGTCTTTGTGAAGAGTGACAGCCAGGGAGTTAGGAAGCAGAGCTCCACAATCAGCTCCAATGCTAATTTGCTGCTTAATATGTGCTAGCTATTGGCCTTGCAACCAACACCTCCTAATTAGGGGGAAAAAAGAGACAAACAGTCTTGTCTATATAGAGATGGCATTATTATTTCAAACTCAGAATGTCCTCAATCTACAACTTTTCTTTCTGACCTGACACTGCCATAAAGATCAACTGTTGTAGAACAGAAGTGTTTCCCTGCTGCTGCTTGGTTTATAAATAAAACAACCCTTACAACTATTCCCACTTAGTTTCTTCATTAAATATTTGGAAAATGATTTGTCCTAATGGATACATAGGGAGTGAAGCAAAGAAAGACATTTAATGGGTACTTTATTGAGATTTAACAACAGTTGTCCCTATTTTTTTCCAGGTGACAAGCACAGAAGGCAGTCTACACTGAGCTGAGCCTTGGGGCTATTTCTAGTTGACTGTGCCTCTACTTTGCTGTGTGGCTTTGAGAAACCACACATCTCTGTGCTACTTTTTCTGCATTATGGTAAATCATTCTTGCTGCCTCCTGCAATTCCATACAAGCATTGACCAAATCATAAATGCCTGGCTAATGGGATAAAAATGAGTTAGAATCTGGGATTCTGGTCATTAACCCCATGTCACCATCTGTTGTAGCAGTATGAGGGCAGGGCCAGGAGAACTGAGAATTACCCAGGACTTGTTTCCTGCTCCAACCCCCATCACTACTATCCTCCACCAGCTCAGGCTCTCAAGGGATGGGTGTCACTTCACAAGGCTGCTTTCCTAGGGACTTTGCTGGAGGGAGGGCAGCTGTCAGCTTCCCCAGGACTAGGCAGCTCCCAGAGTTCTCCCTGTTTATAGGGCTGCCAAGCCGATTTGTAGTTTTGTGCTATATGTCGCTCTCCCTGAACAGAGTCCCCTGCTCCTGTCACCATCTGTGTCACCTCGCTCTGTCCCTGCACCTCCACCCCACTCACTACTCCATTTCATGCCTTCTTTCTTTTCAGTACTAATCACTTGTGTGTGGCACATTCTCTCTTCCCCCCGAAGTATCCATTCTCTTACTGAACTATAAGCCTCTTCTCATCCCCACCCAGGGGACAGAGACCCTGCCCTACCTGATGAGAAGTTATGTTATCAGCAAGAACTCATACAATAAATAATAAAGTTGCTCCTCTCTGATATTGATGTTGTTTCTCTGAGAGGCAAGAACATGGCCCCTGAACCCCATTTCTGAGAAAGGTGAGGGTGTTTCCCCAGCTTTGTCTGTTGTTCCTTCAATAATACCCTTTTTTAAAACTTTACTTTCATACAGGATCTCATGCAGCTGACCAGGCTGGATGTGAACTTGTGATCCTCCTGCCTCGGCCTCCCAGAGTGTCGGCATTTCAGGCAAGCATCTAACTTTGAGGGCTAAGTCTGCATAAACATGGATGGGGGTGAAAGGTGAGGGTTGACAGGAGCTATTTGTTTATTTGCCCTATTTTATCTTCATCTCACCCCACAACTAACACTCCACTTCCAACTTCTTTCCATTCACCAAAGCTGAGATCATAGTAGAGTCACACAGAAATGACTTCAGTGGTAGACATTCAATACATTCTTGCTGATGTGGAATGAGGAATACTGATCATGACTGAACTGTTCCTTACTCTAAACTCATCTTTTTAGTAACCATAAATTGGTTCATCATGGGTCTTTTTCTTTTGGTATGGAATTAGTAGCTTTTTAGCTTGCATTTCATTTAGTTTAATGGAACCCACTTACTCACAGGCTCTTAGTCATGGAAGTACCAACTTCTTGCCTATTAGACAAAAGGGTGACTTCTCCACCACACCACCTTTGACCACAGCCACTTTAATCCTTTCAGGCCTCTGATCTAGTAAAGATGTTCAAAGACACAAAAGTCTCTTCCATTAACAAAGCAGGCCCAACCTGTTTCCCACTTGGGTGAAAGAAAGTCTAAGTCCACAGGACAAAGAGACCCTGCCTTCTGGTTTTATTTCATGTCATTTCCATTCCTCAAGGGTCTGAGAGCCCCAACCTCCGCCCTTTTGCTGTCTACCCTATACTGAGTGTTTTCTTCCCCTAAATCACCTTCATTTCATAATTTTTGTCTGTCTGTTTCCTCCTCCTCTAGTCTGCCTCACCCCTTTCTCCCCAGGGAAGGGATAGAAGAATGAAACCATCACTGTTTGTTTTCTCTCTATCACTCAATCCCTGGAGCCAATTTCTTCACAAGAGAACATACAATGAGCAGCCTGAAGTCAGCCACCAGAGGACAGCTTTCAACAGAAAATGTTAGCATCGTGTTGGCCTTAGGTGAGCAGGTACCTTTAGAACAGGGCAGGGAGAGGGAAAGAGGGCTCTGCCTGGCTCTGAGTGGAGCTTCCTCTCCCTCTTGTGTTCTGCATGTGTGTTGCAGCTGCTTCTGAGCTTGGATGTGCAGTCCTCACCAAAGGTGGCATTGTAGCAGACCATGATGGCTTCACGGATCACACATCCTCCTCTCCTCAGCCACCCTCTCTAACCCACCTTCTTCCATTAGTGCTCCCCAGGGGCTTCCCTCTTTTATTCACCTCTATGCGCTTATGAATTTGCTCAAGTGTACGCAAGTCAGAATGCACTGCCTGTATGGATTTGTTTGCATTTACTGACTTTTTTCGATCTTCGGTACAAATTGTGAATTTGCTTAAATTCAATGTGTTTATTCCCAAGCTTTTTCATAAAGCAGAATGACACAAAAGTAATGATGTGGGAATAAGAAAAAATGAAAATCAGATTGAGAGAAAAGAAGGAAAATGCACTGATGCTCATTTTTCCCTTTTACTGATGTGCCTTCTCTTCCGATTCCCTAGCAGGTTTTGGCATGTAGGTGCTATGCAGGGGTACACTGTTTACAGACATTAAGGACCTCTATAGTAGTGGGAAATGTATGGGAGGCTACAAAGTACCAGAAGTATGGTCTCTATTTCCATGGGGCTTTTCATCCTACAATGGAAACACTTGTTCCTGTCTTATATCTGTCTCACAATAATGTAGAACAATTAAGTGAGGATTACCTGTCTGATTTCCGTGCATGGAGGTGGGGCCAAGGGTTTCCATAATATGTGTAGAAACTGAGACTCACAAAGTTCTAGGACCCTGAGCAGGTATGTGAAGTTGGAACTCACACCCCCAAATTTCCAGTTGCTGGCACTCTATCAATATTCTAATGGAAGCTTTCTACAGGAAACCCACAAGGAAAGGACACAGGAAGCACTAAGTAAAGCCACAGTGACTGGTCATGGGAACGCAAGTTAATGAGGGCTGGGAAGAGCAGAAAGAATATCAGGCAAGGAAGGGGGAAGGAGACAGAGCGACAGCTGGGAAGCTGCACTCAGCCAGAGGCAGTGTGAGCAGCTCCTTTCAGCCCAAGTCCTTTTGTCTGTCATCTAAGGGGTCACAGTAAGAGGAAACAGTGACCAGGTTTTTAAGAGGTGTGTTTGAAGGCACAAGGATGAGATGGACTCTTCTTCCTCTATCTCTGTATATATAAATTATGATGAGTCTGGATGTCCCCGCAAAGCCTCATGTAGTCATGGGGGGAAGTTTCTAAGAGTCTGAATGACTCATGGCCCAAAACTGGGATTATGTCAGTGCTACACTCAAGTGGGTGTGGCATACAATATACAAAATACAATATACAATATACAACATACAATATACGATATACAATATAAAGGACAGAAAATCATCTCACTGCACTCCTCTCTTTTTGCTCTTGTTGCTTGTGCTGTTCTCCACTGCCATGAACTGTTGCCCTCTGCTGAAATCTTCACAAACTGCAAACTAAATAAATCTTAACTTTTGATGTAGAGTATTTTGTTTCAGTAGCAGGAAAAAGTAACAAGACACAAATAGATACCTATCATGAAAGTTCTAATTTTCTGTCTAATTTCTAATTTTCTGCCTAATTGTACACACAATTTAGGATGTATAAGCTACAGGTCTCTGCCTAGACACTTTGCTAAAGCACTGTAAGAGGACACCAACATGTAAGAAACTTCACATCTTTGTCTCCAGAGATGATTGGGTAGGTGGACAAGACAGAGTGTCTGTGCCCACTGCAGAGAGGATGATGTATTGAGGGCTTTCAGGAGACATGAGATTGAAGCATGCTACCCCATGCAGTTTGGATTTCCATGGGTGGAAGGGAATCAACATATACTGGGGTCCAAATCACATTGAATTCTGTGCAGTTATTTTGCTCCTTTTACAAATGAGAAATCTGAAGCTTACAAAGGTAAGTTGTCCCTGGTCCCACTGCTGGTGTGGAGTGAAATTCTAGTGAGAGTCCAAGGTGATTGATTATATTCTGCCTGAACACCGTGGAGGGCTTGTTGTGCCACAGTTAAGGGTATTAGGGCTGGTGTCAGATGACTGGAGTTCAAATTCTGGAGCCAACACACTCCAGCTGTGTTACTTGAGGTGTGCTATTTAACTTGCTTACATCTTGTTTTGCATACTAGATATGAGATGGAGAGCATAAAAGGACCCACCTAAAGAGCCAGTGGCAGAAAACGTATAATGCACTTATAATAATAAAATTTCAGCTGTCATTATTTATACCATCGCTGTAGTTACATTTGTTAGGTAAGGAGCTTATGAACTTGGACCCTTGTGAGCTTCATTTGGTCCCTATCCTATCTGCCCAAGGAGCTGGAGAGTTTACAGTCATGAATCAACTGTAAACATGGGAGTAAACAATGTGAGACATTAAAAACTCGTAAGTCATTGCATACCTGATGTAGTAGTCGGTGCTTACTAGAGAAACAAATTTAATGCAAGGTATACAAATGCATAAAGATTTATCGGATAGGCTTACAATGACCACTTCCAGAGTCGGGGAGAATGAAAAGAGCTGTCTGTGCGCTGGAGAGCTGAAGGATCCAGTCAAAGGCCTGTAGTGCCCCATGTGAGTCTATATTAGGGGGTCCAAGAGTCTGTGATACAAGGTTGAAGAGTCTGCTCTGGAAGCCAAGAAGCAATGTCCAAGCTGATAATGAAGACTAGAGCTCTTCTGAAGAAACAGAAGTGATCCTTCCTTCTTAACTTTCCTTCTATTCCATTCAGGTAAAAATCCAGGGTGGGTCTTCTGCCTTCAGTAAATCCCTTCAACTACACCCAGAACTGTTGCTAATTTCGTACTCAAGTTGACACAATCAGTTAACTGTCACACCTGGTTTCTAGTGAACAAGGAGAGGAGTCTCAAAAATGATTCTGGGATCAGCAGGAAACCTTTATTAAGCAACTCTGGAGTATGATGTTCTCTGCTAGCCTGTGAGGATGCATGGTTCATGAAGACATGTTAGTGTGAGCGCTGGTCCAGCTTCTACCAGTCCTCAGCAGGACCCGTTTCCTCTAAAGACAAGCACAGGGGCTAGATGCCTCCGGTAGGCTTTCTAATCCTCAGCAGTTCTGTGCAGTAAGTCTTTCAAATTCAGAGCCAAAGAGCAGTCAGCCAACTTCTCAAGGTGAGAGATTGGAATCTCTCACTCCTTCATTGTAAATGTTGTTCTGTAAGGGCTGGGAGTGTTGACTGTCTCCAGCCAAGGCCAGGTGTTCTTAGAGGATGGACGTCCCCATTCAAACCACTCATTCAGTGTCTCTTCCTAGAGTTCCGCCCTCTTCCCTGAACTCTGGACTTCTGCCTCCATATATCTCTCCAACCCTTCTAATCAAACATCAAAACAAAATTGCCACTCACCACTAAGACGGCAATTAATCTGACTCTTTGTAATAAAGCACATCCTTCATAGGGCCATAGTACTAAACATTAAGGGGAATCAGGCTAATGTCTTTCACCCAAGGAGTTGGCAGGTAGGTGAGTGACACTGAGCATATACGCTCAGCACAGAGGAACAAGTCTGTGATAGAGCTAAGTGTGTACAAGAGACTATAATTTACACGCATTATCTCTCTTAACGACATTTTTCAAAACTCAGCACTGTTCACAAGTTGAGGTGGATAATTTTATGTTGTGGAAGGGTGTTCTGTGCATTGTAGGATGCTTAGCCGTTTGTCTGCCCTCACTAGATGTCAGTAGTACCCTCTACCCTTAATGTGCCAATCAGAAATGTCTCCAGTCATTGCCAAATATCCCACAGAGGAAAAGTCACCATTTGGAAATTCTGATAGAGATCAGTAATGTGAGTACAATTTCATTTATGTTTTACAGCCGCTCATTCTCTAAATTGAAGCACATCTAGATCCAATCAAATGGCCAAGGCCACACTCATGTAAAGGACTAGACAGGGTTAATGTGCTTCCAGTGGCCACGATCTTTGGTCTACTGCATCATCTGCCCCTGTGTGAACAGTGCTGACAACACACTAGATCTTTAGGAATCCACACCAGAAAGATCCACTGCTATCAGCAATCCCTCCAGCTACAGTGCCCTTCACAAGCCATGCAGCAATCCTGCAGGGTAAGCCATGCTGCCATTTGTAAGTGAGCACACTGAGACCTGAATTGAGAGATGAGATCTGTCCCAAGTCATAGAGCAGACAAGACCCACATCTTGTTACTCTTCTCTCTCTAAGTCTGAGAGTTGAGTAAATACTGATAAAGCTATGAGAGACAAGAAGCAACTTAATAAAAGGAATGCAAATCCAGGATGATGGATATATTTAGATGATGAGTTATTACGTGATGGTATAAAAATAGACCAAGGGAGAGCACACGAGATTGCATGCTTGACTATGTGAGAGACAGGGAGTGTGTGTGGAGAGCATGGAGTACCATTCATTAGCTTTTCTGGGAAAACATTATGAAGCTGCCAGCAGAAACCAACACATGCATGGTCCCTGAAAGTAAACTATACCTGGAGTCCTATGAAGAGGAGTTATAATTCCTCCATTGAGCTCAGCTCAAAGTTCTCAATTAAAACAATACCACTGCTCAAATGCTTTGATAGGTAATTCTGATTCTCAGGTGCACATAGGGTAGCCATTCACATATTTGTGAGTTTGGTGTGTTTCATCCTACTCAACCCTCTGTGCATATTTAAACTTTTGGGGGAGGGAAGAGACTCAATATGCACTGGAAGCCAAGTCACATTCAATCCTATGCAACTAATCTGCCCATTTTACAGACAAGGAAAATGAAGTTTACAGAGTTGAGATAAATTGCCCATGATCCCACCGCTGGTGGGGGTGAGCATCAGATGAAATCCTCTACAGCCCAAGTACCTTGTGGGGCCTGTCTTGTTGCAGTTAAGAGTACAGGGGTTGATGTCAGATGACTGTGGATTAAATCCTGAGCCCTAGCACATTCCATTGCTGTTACTTGAAGCATGCTATTCAACTTAATTTCACCTTGATTTGCTTTTCTGTGAAATGGAGACAATAAGAGGATTCAAAGGGCTGATGGGAAACAGGAAAAGCTTAAATGATCAAGTACTAAAAGTATCCAATAAAAGCTGAGTAATATGAGATGTCATTTTAACATGACTATTTTAATTCCCACTACTGTCAAAAGGAGAGAGTCAGGGGACGCTGAACCCTGTGCCCTTGCTGTGAGCTTTGTTTTAGTTCTTCCATTCTCCCCATCACTATAGAAGATAGGAAGAGCACAATGACTACTCAGGTATAAAAGGGAAAATGAGATTTAAATACCCCTGAGTCTCTTAGGTCCCTGGGGAGAAAAAGCCTTCACAAGTAGTTTTTGCAGCTTCTTCCAGGAGCTGGGTAGGGAAACTCTACAGACATTGACACTTAATTAAGCATTGCATGGAGGTACAACCAGCATAGCAGAAGGGCTGTGATTTTGTGCACCCTCTGGGGGAAATACTGCAGTACAAGAACCTGTGCTTGAAGCCTACATCTATTTTGGTTTATACTTAAATCTCACTCTGCTTTCAGAAGAAACAGCAGTTCACTGCATACTGTGCTTTGTTTCCCAGTTATTTGACCTTGAAGGATGTTATTATAGATGTTGTAATTCTCCTCTGACTGAGGAAGAAAGAAAGGACATCATCCTAGTTCATAAACTCATCAGTTCATAGTTTTGATGGATTTTCAAGAATTAGGGATTGGCGGGTGGATGTCGTGGGTCTCAGAAATTTGCACACGCCACAACTTCTCCTAAGCTGTTATGTGTGGTCAGGAAGGCGGAGAAGGTATTAAGAGTTCTGTTTGTCTGAATGGGAGATGGGAGAAACAGGGACGAATGATTATCTTCACTTTCTCAAAGTAAAATTTACAGTCCTCTCAATACACTATGCCAGTCGCCCTGGTGAAGAAGTGTAATTTCTTCCTGTCGTTTTCCTACCACTAAAACCAGTGCCCACCAAGTGGAGGAGGTTCAACCAAAATTTCCTGAACTCATGAATGAGCCTGAAAACACACTGCAGTGCTTTCTGATTTTCCAAAAGTGTCCTAAAGTCTTATAGTCTTCTTTGTATACCAAGATGCAACCAGGAGTAGAAGAATTTTTTTAAAAAGTAAGAAAGTCAAGCCTAGCCTATAATGTTTGCATGTCTTTTTATCAGATCAGTTTTTACTCTTTCTCTAAATACAAGAGAAGGCCCACCGATGGTAAGCTATCCGAGGACAGGAAATATGACTTACTGCGTCTTACATTCTTAAACATTAGCAGATAGTGGCTATATCAGATAGGCCAAAGTCAAGGAAAGGAAAAAAGATGGTCTAAATGAAAGAGAGCTCTAGCACATGTCTTCCCTGTTATTCAAATACACTGGCTTACTTTCAGATCCCAGGCCTTATGTACAGTGAGCCCATGCTCTTCGTCTTCCTGGTGCTCCGTGTAGCCAGTGTCTAATATGAATGAGCATTCAACTCTTGTGTGTTTCCTGAT